TTCATTCGAAAAAAGTACTTTGGACCACTGAGCAACAGTCCAGTGCTGCTTCTCTGTAGCCCAGGTCAGGCATTTCTGCCGCTGTTTCTGGTTCAAAAGTGGCTTGACCTGGGGAATGGGGCACCTGTAGCCCATTTCCTACACACGCCTGTGCACGGTGGCTCTGGATGTTTCTACTCCAGACTCAGTCCACTGCTTCCGCAGGTCCCCCAAGATCTGGAATCGGCCCTTCTCCACAACTCTCCTCAGGGTCCGGTCACCTCTTGTCGTTGTGCAGCGTTTTCTGCCACACTTTTCCCTTCCCACAGACTTCCCACTGAGGTGCCTTGTTACAGCACTCTGGGAACAGCCTATTCGTTCAGCAATTTCTTTCTGTGTCTTACCCTCTTGCTTGAGGGTGTCAATGATGGCCTTTTGGACAGCAGTCAGGTTGGCAATCTTACCCATGATTGCGGTTTTGAGTAATGAACAAGGCTGGGAGTTTTTAAAAGCCTCAGGAATCTTTTGCAGGTGTTTAGAGTTATGTTGTTGATTCAGATGATTAGGTTAATAGCTTGTTTAGAGAACCTTTTCATGATATGCTAATTTTTTGGGACAGGCATTTTCGGTTTTCATGAGCTATAGGCAATAATCATCAGGATTAAAACAATTAAAGACCTGAAATATTTCAGTTGGAGTGCAATGAATCTGAAATATGTTAAAGTTTCATTTTTATCATTACATTATGGAAAATAATGACCTTTATCACAATATGCTAATTTTTTGATAAAGGACCTGTATATCTCCTCCTACATGTCTCTGCGTGACTGCAGCTACGTCCTGCGCTCTCAGGACATTATTACCTGCATCCATCCATCCATCCATTTTCTTCTGCTTATCCGGGGTCGGGTCGCATGGGTACCAGTCTAAGTAGGGAGGCCCAGACTTCCCTCTCCCCAGCCACTAAGGCCAGCTCTTCTGGGGGAATCCCGAGGCATTCCCAGGCCAGCCAAGAAATATAGTCCCTCCAGCATGTCCTGGATCTTCCTCTGGGCCTCCTTCCGGTGGGACGTGTCCGGAACACCTCACCAGGGAGGCATCCAGAAGGCATCCTAAACAGATAACCAAGCCACCTACACTGGCTCCTCTCGACGTGGAGAAGCAGCGGCTCTACTCTGAGTACCTCCCGGATGATCGAGCTTCTCATCCTATCTGTATGGGAGAGCCCAGACACCCTGCGGAGAAACTCATTTCGGCCGCTTGTATCAGAGATCTCATTCTTTCGGTCACAACCCAAAGCTAGTGACCATAGATGAGGGTAGGAACGTAGATCGATCGGTAAATTGAGAGCTTCGCCTTTTGACTCAGCTCTCTCTTCACCACGACAGATCTGTACAGCGCCTGCTTCATTGCAGATGCTGCACCTGTCAGCCTATCGATCTCACACTCCATTTTTCCCTCATTTGTAAACAAGACCCCAAGATACTTGAACTCCTCCACTTGGGGCAGGACCTCCTCCCTGACCCGGAGAGGGCACTCTACCCATTTCCGGCTCAAGACCATGGCCTCGGATTTGGAGGAACTGATCTTCATCCCGGCCGCGCCGCATTCGGCTGCGAACCGCTCCAGCGAAAGCTGTAGATCACGATCTGATGAAGCCAATAAGACCACATCATCTGCAAAAAGCAGAGATGCAATCCTAAGGCCACCAAAACAGATCCCCTCAACACCTTGGCTGCGCCTAGAAATTCTGTCCATAAAAGTTATGAACAGAATCGGTGACAAAGGGCAACCTTGGCGGAGTCCAACTCTCACCGGGAACAAGCCCGACTTACTGCCGGCGATGCGGACCAGACTCTGACACCGGTCATACAGGGACCTAACAGCCCGTATCAAAGGGCACGGTACTCCATACTCCCAGAGTACCCCCCACAGGGCTCCCCGAGGGACGCGGTCGAACGCCTTTTCCAAGTCCACAAAGCACATGTAGACCTGTTGGGCAAACTCCCACGCACCCTCCAGGACCCTGCTGAGAGTGTAGAGCTGGTCCAGTGTTCCACGGCCAGGATGAAAACCGCACTGCTTCTCCTGAATCCGAGGTTCGACTATCCGACGGACCCTCCTCTTCAGAACCCCCGAATAGACCTTACCAGGGAGGCTTACGAGCGTGATTCCCCTGTAGTTGGAACACACTCTACTGTCCTCCTTTTTGAATAGGGGGACCACCAACCCAGTCTGCCAACCCAGGGGAACTTCCCTCGATGTCCACACAATATTGCAGAGTCGCGTAAGCCAACACAACCCTACAACATCCAGAGCCTTAAGGAACTCCGGGGGAATCTCATCCACCCCTGGGGCCCTGCCACCGAGGAGCTTTTTAACCACCTCGGTGACCTCAGCACCAGAGATTGGAGGGCCCGACCCAGAGTCCCCAGGCTCCGCTTCCTCAGTGGAAGACGTGCCGGTGGGATTGAGGAGGTCTTCAAAGTATTCCGCCCACCGACCCATAACATCCCAAGTTGAGGTCAGTAGCACACCACTCCCACTATAAACAGTGTTGGTGGCGTACCGTTTTCCTCCCCTGAGACGCAGGATGGTGGACCAGAATCGCCTTGAAGTCATGCAGAAGTCGTTCTCCGTGGCCTCTCCGAACTCCTCCCATGCCCGAGTTTTTGCCTCGGCGACCACCCGAGCCACATGTTGCTTGGACTGCCGGTACCCATCAGCTGCTTCTGGGGTCCCACAGGCCAAAAAGGCACGATAGGACTCCTTCTTCAGCCTGACAGCATCCCTCACCGATAGTATCCACCATTGGGTTTGAGGGTTGCCGCCGCAACAAGCACTAACAACCTTACGGCTGCAGCTCCGGTAAGCCGCCTCGACAATAGAAGCACGAAACATGGTCCACTCAGACTCAATGTCCCCCGCCTCCCTCGGAACATGTTCGAAGTTCTCCCGGAGGTGGGAGTTAAAACTCCGTCTCACAGGAGACTCTGCCAGATGTTCCCAGCAAACCCTCACAATACATTTGGGTCTGCCAGGTCTGACCGGCATCCTCCCCCACCATCGGAGCCAACTCACCACCAGGTAGTGATCAGTGGACAGCTCTGCCCCTCTCTTCGCCCGAGTGTCCAAGACATGTGGCCGCAGATCAGATGAGACGATGACAAAGTCGATCATTGAACTGCGGCCTAGGGTGTCCTGGTGCCAAGAGCACATATGGACACCCTTATGCTTGAACAAGGTGTTCATTATTGACAATCCATGACGAGCACAGAAGTCCAACAATAGAACACCACTCGGGTTCAGATCAGGGGGGCCGTTCCTCCCAACCACACCCCTCCAGGTCTCACTGTCATTGCCCACATGAGCATTGAAGTCTCCCAGCAGAACAAGGGAGTCCCCAGGAGGTGCACTTTCCAGTACGCCCTCCAAGGACTCCAGAAAGGGTGGATAATCTGAACTGCCGTTTGGTGCATAAGCAAAAACGACAGTCAGAACCCGTCCCCCCACACGTAGGCGGAGGGAGGCCACCCTCTCATTCACCGGGGTGAACCCCAACACACAGGCACCAAGTTGGGGGGCAATAAGTATGCCCACTCCTGCTCGGCGCCTCTCACCAGGGGCAACTCCAGAGTGGAAGAGTGTCCAGCCCTTCTCAAGGAAACTGGTTCCAGAGCCAGAGCCATGCGTAGAGGTGAGTCCAACTATTTCTAGCCGGAACCTCTCAGCCTCACACACCAGCTCAGGCTCCTTCCCCACCAGTGAGGTGACATTCCACGTCCCAATAGCCAGCTTCTGTAGCCGAGGATCAGACCGCCAGGGTCCCCGCCCTCAGCCACCACCCATCCCACATTGCACCCGACCCCTTTGGCCCCTCCCACAGGTGGTGAGCCCATGGGAAGGGGGACCCACGCCTCCTCTTCGGGCTGTGCCCGGCCGAGCTCCATGGGTAAAAGCCCGGCCACCAGGCGCTTGCCCGCGTGCCCCACCTCCAGGCCTGGCTCCAGAGTGGGGCCCCGGTGACCCACATCCGGGCAAGAGAACATTAGGTCCGTTTATTTCTCTCATCATCGGGGTCTTTGGGCTGCACTTTGTCTGGTCCCTCACCTAAGACCTGTCTGCCATGGGTGACCCTACTAGGGGCGTAAAGCCCCTGACAGCATAGCTCCTAGGATCATTGGGACACTCAAACCCCTCCACCACAGTAAGGTGGCAGCCCAGGGAGGGGTTATTATTACCTGCAGTGTTCCCTTAATGAGGACTGAACTAGGCAAGAGGACCTTCTCCTACTCCGCTCCTGTTTCCTGGAATACCTTACAAAAACAATTGAAGCTCTCGACCTTGACCTCTCTAAGTGGCTTTAAGAATCTGTTGGACTCTGGGCAGGGACCAATGCAGACATGTTCCTGTTTTTAGTTTTCTACATTTGCCTTAGAATCTAGCTGTTTTTTGTTACCTTTTTCTTTTAGCCATCCTATTTGTTAAAAAAAAAAAAAAAAAAAAAAACTGTAGTATGACTTTTTATAACTGTTTATTGTTGTCGCTGTTGTCCATTGTTGTTATCATTCTTTGTTGAAATCAGGTCTCTCTTGTAAATGAGTCCTCAAGGCTCAATGGGATTTACCTGTCTAAATAAAGGTTGAATGAATATTTTGTGGCACACTTGAAACATCAATATAAACCTAAAATCTAAATTATCCAATTAACCCATGTAGATTTTGATTTTTGTAGTAAAATTAATGGTTTAATTTATTATTCTATAGTTGATACATTGATTTAAAAAAGTAACAGGGCACATTCTGCTGTAAGCCTAATTAAAGGACAACAGTCCATTATCAGGGCTTCAAAAAAACAAGTTAATGGTAAAATTACACCTTAGAGCAAAACTATTTAGAAGCTATTGGATCAACAGGTATTTCCTTTCAGAAACAGGCTGATATGTCTGAAGCGTGTAGTGACTGTTCTGTCTCAGAGTTGTGAATGTTTTTAATTCTGTGCAGGTTTGTGGGGAAACTTACGTGCTAGAACTCCTCCGGTTGTGCAGTCCACACCGGTTTGCAGACTCCAGGGAAGGGCAGAGGCTGTTGGTGGTGGTGGTGGGGGAGGAGGTGGCAACAGCTTGCTAGCAGATGAAGAAGATACAGAGGAAGAGGAGGAAAGGTCGGATGATGACAGAGGCAAAGAAAAGGAACTGAGGCCTGCTGATGAGGATGAACAAGGAGGCGAGGCCATAGATTTGGATGCGTCGTCCGTAGGCGGGGGCTTGGCTATGGGTGTTGATAAGACAGTGTTGAGGCCAGCTCCCTGGGGAATTGACAGGCTGGAGGGGCTGGACGCTGGGGGAATGGGGCTAGTCTGAGTTGGGCAGTCTTCAACTAGGAAAGACGGGTCTGGTGTCTTACAGCTGCTGTCCACAGTCTGAGAGTCTGGGGAAGACTCCCTGATGTCCCTCAAAGGTGCCGTGGATGGTGGAGGTGTGCGTGGCGGAGAGGTGGAGGGTGGAAGGGCACTAGTGGAGGAGGATGTAGAGGATGAAGAGGAACAGGGAGGGGGGCCTGCTTGGACAGTACGTGGACTGACAGACTTGCTCCCCTCTCCACTAGCTAACTGAACATCCAGTGACACCCTGCCCCAGCCTTCAGACAAGGCTTTTGTTTGGCTGCCATTTCCAGCAGCTAATCCAACACCCCCACCTTTTTTACTGGTCTTCTTGGCCAGGCGACGGCGGCGCTTGGTTGCTAGCGACAAAGAGGGTGAAGACGCAGAAGAGGAGGTGGATGTGATGGAACTGGTTTTTGTTTTCTTGGGTTTTTGGACTGCAGAGCTTGCTAAGGTTGAAGGTGGTGCAGCCAGGTTGATTCTTTTTCCCATACTGCTCAGGTCCTTGCTGCGGCTGCCCAAAGACAGTGGCTCTGAACAAGGTTTAAGAAACGGTGACCTGCTTTCGTTGTCTCTGCAGAAGACGACTGCAATTGAACCACCCACAACTGAACCCCCAGTTCCCCCTCCTGTACTTCCTGGTCCTAGAAGGTCCATGCTCAACTTTCCAGAGCCGACTGAAGACCCTGTGGTGCTGCTCACACCCTCACGCACCAGCACAGACACTTTGGACTGAAGCTTACCTTTCCGACCACTTCCACTCTCTTTCTTGGATTTGCCAGAGCGACTCAAATCCTTTCTGCTGCCCTTGTCCCGGTCTTTGTCTTTGCTCATTTTTCTGCCTCGCTTGGCTAAGGGAAGGTCAGCAGAGGCAGAGCCTGAAGTGACTGTTAGTGAGGAGAGGCATTTACTGGTGGTTCTATTAGAAGATGAGGAGGATTCAGATTTCTTTAGTGCGTTTGACTTCTTCTTTGGGTGATTCCGTCTTGGCTTGGTGGGAGTTTTAACTTTAGGGCTGGGGACAGGTGGTTCTGGAGGAAGAGCAGGAGGAGGTGTATCTTCTAGAGAGGGGTAGTCGGAGTCCAGAGCTTCACCGTCCAAAGACAGCGTATCAATCTCTAATTTATCGGAGTAGTGGTCTGACTCATAGCCATGATACCTCGATGGAGATGGTGACTGTGATTGGCTGCGACAACTTTCCTGGTTCTCTGCGTCCCCAACTGAATGCCATTTTCTCTTCTTCCTCTTAAGAGAATGATCAACCTGTGTGGGATGGGAAGGGGATGCTGTGGTAAGTCTCGGGGAGCCAGGTACGGTGGTGGTGGTAGTGGTGGTTGTAACTGTAATTGTTCTCTTGATAGCAAAAAGGTCAGCTCCGTTGAGGTCTTGGATAGATGGAGGGACAACAGGACGACCATCGCGGCGGTGCTCCCTCTCATGTTGTCTCTCTCTATCACTATCCCTTCTTTCCAGACTTCGTCTGGACCTTTTTGAGATGTCTCGTTCTCTGCTTCTTGAATGCCGTTTATCCGTTCGCTCCCTTTCCCTCTTTCTAGAACTTGGATCTCTCACTCTTTCATCTTTTCTATGACTACTGCTATAGTGGTGATGCCTCTCTTTGTCTCTTTCTCTACTTCTTCCTCTGTCTCTGTTCTTGTCTTTCTCTCTTTCCCGTTCTCTCTGTCTTTCCTCCGACAGGCTTGAAAAGGAGCGTCTAGAGTGACCTCTTCTCCTAGAAGTGTTGTGTGAAGCATCAGGGCTGCTATGCCGTCTCTTCTTCCTCTTTCGGCTGCTGCTTCTGCTGCTTCGCCTTGTTTTAACCTCCTTCACAGCCTTGTGTCCCCTCTCCTTTTCTTTGCTCTTCTCTCTTTCCCCCTCTTTTCCCTTTCTTCTTTTTTTCCTTCTGGCCTCCTTGTCTCCAGCTTTTCTGTCTTTGCTTTTTTGTTGGTCATGGTCATTGGAACTCTTGGAGGATTTGTGTGTTTTACTGGGTTGTTCTACAGGAACCATGAGAGGGGATGAGGATCTAGAAGCTTGAGAAAGGGAGGGAGGCTGTGCTGGCTGAGCAGAAAGAGGGGAGGTGGCAGGAAAGGAGTGATATCTTTCCTTCCTCCTACTGACCAGCTTCCTTCTCAAATCCTCCACTCCAACTGTAGGCTCAATTTGAAGCTCTTTGTCTTCCTCCCAGTTTTCCTCTGTACACACGGACACAAATCCATCTCCATCGAGCACACGGAGGATGCGCTCTGGTTTAGAGCCAAAGAAAGACACATGAGGAGAGTTTAGGGATAGGACTTTTTCAGTAGGTCTCTTATTAGTCCCATCTTTGTCAAGAGATGTGACTATCTCCCCCTCTTCTATCTCAGAATGATCAGAGTCAAAATTCTGCTTATGCTCTTTAGCTTTGAGAGCACTGCTCTCCACCCTTCTCCTCAAAGGGAGCTGGGTGGCTGGACAGGGGCTCAGCCGATCTGTAAAGGTGTCTGTGGAATCTGGAGGTTCTTCCTGTTTATCCTCGTCATCTACCTCAGCATTTGTGGCAACTTCCCTCTCTTTCTCAATCTCATTATCCACATCTGATGCTGGAGAGCCAGTTGGGTCAAAAGGGTCATATTTCTCTCCCTCCTCCTCTTCGTCCCCCATTCTTCTGCCTTTATCTCCATCCGTCGGACTGAAAGGATCATAAATTTCCCCTTTCCTGTCATCTTCTTCATATTCAACGTTAGACTGCATTGACATGTGAGGAAAGAAATCCACAGAGGTGGTGCTGAACGGTGGAGTGGAGAGAGGCTGTCTAGTTAACAAAGCTGAAGAGGAAGACACCCTGGCTACCTCTTTCTGACTTTTTACATCATTTTGATAGGCTGACGAGGTGGCACAGAAAGAGGAGGATGTAGACAAGGGTGAGGATGGAGAAGAGGAAGGAGATGAGGGAGATAAGGAGGGTGAGCAGAGAGGAGGGCTCCTGGCTGTCTCTCCAACTCCAACTGGGGAGGAGGTGTCAGAAGACCTCCTTTTGAAGACTGGTGTTAAGTCCATGGGTCAAGAAAACCTGTGGCATATGTCAGCTAAAGCCACAGAATTAAAAGAGCCCAGCAACAAACCTAAGAGAGGGAAACAAGTTAAAACTAAGTTAAAATAAATGTAATCAGAATCCATGTAAACAACCATCTATGGACACCAACTAAACCACCTCAATTCAAAAGATCAACAATTAATTTACACATGGGAAACAGGATCTCTGTTATCGCAGAAATAGAAATGACCTTTATACAGAATACAAACTTTTCATAAGATTTACAGGCTCCTGTTGCTGACTCCGCAATCAAATAAGCTAATAAAATTAGGAAAGTCATAAAAGTAGAGAAAAACAAACAAACAAGAAAACATCCTGATGCATGCTCAATAATCCAAGTAGAAAAATCAAAAAAAGTTAAATCTGGTCCTATGGACATTCAAAAAAAAAGATCCAGTCCCCTGGCACTAAGAGTAATATTGTGTATGCTATTTAGTGTCAGGAGGGCTGTGATCAGTCTTACATTGGGGGAAACTAAACAGCCACTGGCCAAAAGGATGGCTCAGCACAGAAGATCAACATCATCAGGCCAGGATTCTGCGGTCTACACTCATCTCCAGGCCAGCGGTCACTCTTTCAGGGATGAAGATGTTCACATCCTGGACAGAGAGGAACAATGGTTTGAGAGAAGAGTAAAGGAGGTCATCTTTGTGAAAAGAAATCATCCATCATTAAACAGGGGTGGAGGCCTCCTGGTTCAACTGTCCCCCTCTTACAATGCTGTTATTGCTAGTATCACTCAGCCTCCCGTTAATAGTAAACAGCCATCAGTGTGCTAATGATCCATTGTTAGGCTGATGGCCCTTCTTGATCATGTGAGCAGCTGGTTTTGGTTGTCAGCAGCAAACTGGTTGATCCACTCTGAGAAGTTGCTATTTAAGAGACTGAGCTTAATACAGCACTTCAGACTGAAGAAGTCTTTCGAATGAAAGACGAAATGTTTCTACATTTTTTTTTGTTGTTTTGCTTTGTTTTGTTGTTTGTTTGTTTTTTTGAATGTCCAGAGGACCAGATTTAATTTTTTTAGATTTTCACTATTGCAAATAAAATCACTGTTTTATCGTATAATCTTGACTTAGTGGCTGCTTGAGGGGTGCAGGAGGTGAAATCGCCCATAATGAATTGTGTCCCGGCGGCTGTTATTGCGCTGGGGTGTAACATAACACAAACACTCCATCCATCTGTTCCTGGCCCAGCCCTTCGCTCCAGTTTTAGATCTAAGTGTGGCCCGCGAGTCTGACAGTTTGCCCACCCCTGGTGTAGACCACAGAGTACTGGCCTGATGATGTTGATCTTTTGTGCTGGACCATCCTTTTGGCCAGTATATATACATATATATATGTCCTCTGATCTCCACTCCCTGACTGCTGTCAATCATTCATCTGCAAATGACTCTGTGGATTACTACAACCAATCTCTCCAGGAGCTTCTGGACCTCCATGCTCCCTTTAAAGCAAGGCTGGTGTCTTTCTCCCGTTCAGCCCCTTGGTACACTGCTGAGCTGCGTAAGATGAAAGCAGCTGGCCGTGCTATTGAGAGACGTGTAAAATCATCTGGTCTCTCTGTACATCAGCAGGCATATAAAGAACATCAGAAAGCCTACGCCTTTTCTCTTAAAGAAGCACGGTCCAAATATTATTCTAACATCATCAACAACTGCCCTGGAAACTCTAAACAACTCTTCTCCACAATAAATCATCTCCTTAATCCCATTAAACAGTCTCATGAGGACTCTGTTCAAAAATGCAACCTGTTCCTTTCATTTTTTAAAAACAAAGTTAACTCCATTAGATCTCAGCTCCATAGCCTCCCTGATCTTCATCTGCCATTTACCCGTCTGCATTCTGGGTCCCTGAGCTGCTTTGATGAGGTTGTTCTGAGTGAAGTGGAGACCATCATCAAGAAAATGAAGCCTTCATCCTGCGCCCTGGATCCCTTCCCCTCGTCTCTCATTAAATCCAATCACTCTGCAATAAGCCCATTAATCACACAAATAATAAATAAGTCACTGCAATCTGGTCAAGTTCCACTGCCTCTTAAAACTGCCATCATTAGGCCTCGTCTGAAAAAATCTAATTTGGATCCAGACATTCTTTCTAATTACCGCCTAATTTCTCACCTCCCATTTCTGTCAAAAGTTCTGGAAAAAGCAGTTGCTGCCCAGCTGCAGATCCACCTACAACAACACTCCCTGTATGAGAAGTTTCAGTCTGGCTTCCGTGCAGCTCACAGTACTGAGACCGCACTGCTGAGAGTCACCAATGATGTCCTCATGGCTGCTGACACTGGTTCTCCCTCCCTCCTTGTTCTCCTTGACCTCACTGCAGCTTTCGACACTGTGGACCATAGTATCCTCCTCCACCGTCTTCATGTGGAGGTCGGTCTCTGTGACACTGCCCTGGACTGGTTTAAATCTTTCCTCTCCAATAGGCTGGAATGTGTTAGTCTTGGCAATGCCAAGTCCCAGACTGTCTGTGTCTCCTGTGGTGTCCCTTAAGGGTCAGTTTTAGGGCCCCTGCTATTTTCCCTTTACATGTTGCCTTTAGGGCAAATTATTAATCAGTACAACATTTCTTTTCATTGTTATGCCGACGATACACAGCTTTACATCAGGACCGGAGCATCATCTTCACCACTGTCATCTCCATCTTCACTCGCTGCCCTCTCTACCTGCCTGGAGGAGATAAGGGCATGGATGAATCAGAACTTTCTTCAGTTAAACTGCTCCAAAACAGAGGCCATACTGATTGGCACCCCTCACCAGGTTCAAACTTCAACTATAACGACTATTTCATTTTCTGGACAAGACATCCCCCTCTCCACCTCTGTTACAAATCTTGGAATAAAAATGGACACTCATCTTACATTTGAAAATCACATTAAGCATCTGTTTAAAACCTGTTTCTTCCATCTTCGAAATACCTCCAAACTGCGCCCATCTCTCACTTTTGCTGATGCAGAGAAACTCGTCCATGCTTTTGTCTCCTCCAGGCTCGACTACTGCAACTCCCTGTTTACTGGAATACCCGGCAAAAACCTTCAGAAGCTTCAATATATTCAAAACAGTGCAGCCAGGATTTTATTGAGAGCTCGTAAATTTGAACATATTACACCCATTCTCCATAACCTCCATTGGCTTCCTGTCACTTACAGAATTTAGTACAAAATTGCTCTCATCACCCATCAGTGTTTATACGGAAATTCACCAGATTATCTGAAGGACCTTCTTGCTCCATATTCATCCACCCGGTCCCTACGATCACAGAACAGTAATCTCCTCCACCTTCCACGAACTAAATTAAGAACCATGGGAGATCGGGCATTCTGTGTGGCTGCCCCCCACCTCTGGAACTCCCTCCCTGAATATCTGAGAGCTCCACAATCATTGACTTGACTTTAAAAAAGGCTTAAAGACTTTTCTTTTTAAGCAAGCCTATTCTGCCTCCACATGATTGTCTCATTGATTTTAGTTGATTGTATCATTGATTTTAGTTGATTTTATCACAGATTTTAGTTGATTTTATCACTGATTTTAGTTGATTTTATCATTGATTTTAGTTGCACTCTGTAGCACTTTGAGATTTTTGTTAATGAAAAGTGCGTTACAAATTAAATTCATTATTATATATAATATATATATACAGTGAGGAAAATAAGTATTTCAACACCTTGTGACTTTGCAAGTTCTCCCACTTAGAAATCATTGAGGGGTCTAAAATTGTCATCTTAGGTAAATGTCCACTGTGAGAGACATAATCAAAAAAAAAAAAAAACATCCGGAAATCACAATGTATGATTTTTTAAATAATTTATTTGTGTGTTACTGCTCCAAATAAGTATTTGAACACCTGTGAAAATAAATGTTAATATTTGGTACGGTAGCCTATGTTTGAAATTACAGAGGTCAAATGTTTCCTGAAGTTTTCACCAGGTCTGTGTAGTGAACTAGACCTCCTACATCAATCTGTCTCTGAAGACCTTTAGGGGACAGGAACTGTTGTTTCATTGATTTGAATCCAGAAATACAAATTGTCTCATCAAGACACTATTTAATTGTATCCTGAATTAATCAATTGAAAGAACACTCTTCTTTTTATATTATCATTACTATTTTACAATATCTTGACAATCAAAAGTGTGTTTAGTTCATAACATTTCTAATGTTGAAGTAAACCACTCATTTAAATCAAGTGTGAAACAGTATTAATGATTTTTAAACCTCATTAGACTTAGATCATGCAACTTAAATGTCTATTTACAAAGTAATTGTGCATTTTATTCTTCTGTCTTAATGAGGAGTGGATTTGATGTCGGTCAAAAGTCAGAGAACAAGTTATGAGAATGAAGTGCCTTGTTTTAAAACTCTCAGACAGTAAATAAGAACTGGCTGGCACCTGCGAGTCTCACTTCTTCAAAATATTTTCCTGTCTGTACTAACCGTTCTTAAAAACATTTCTGCTGTCTGCGACTCCTAATAACTCTCTGACATCATTAAAACTCCACCCCTGCTGGTTGTGATAACCAATCAGGAAGTACCAAGTAACAGGAGGTGGATACCCTTTAAAAGTCAACACTTCTTGGAACTACTCAGTCTTCCTGGAACTTTGAGTCTAAGATGAGACTCAGTCTTACTGGAGTCTTACTGGAAGACTCAGTCTTACGGCGAGTCTTACTGGAACTTTCAGTTCTTACTGAAAGTCTGTTTTGGAGTTCTGGCTGGGACTGCAGTCTTGCTGGAGTCTTACAGCTGAACTAAATAGCTGATGGAGTTTGACCATGAGCCAAGGGTCCATCCATTCCAGCGGAGTCACAGCACGCCTCGCTGTGAACTCACCCCGAGCATTAAATGCTCTCAACTTCTAAGGAAGCTTATTCTGTTGAACGGAGTACTTCGTCACGACTTCGGACGATTCCCAGCGACTCTGACCGGAGACGCTGAAAAGTAACGTGAAATGGACCTCTGTACTGGAGCTGATTTATCTTCTGCAAAGGTAACGAGTCGTCACGCACTGAGTGTACCGAGGGCTGAGCTGGGGTCGAAAGAAGGGTGCCATTCCTGGTCAACACATTTTCAGAGTCAGAGTCAGAGTCAGAGTTTCTTTATTGTCATTCGCACCTCATGTGGTACATGTGG